TAGTAGAGATGGGGTTTCACCATATTGGCCACGTTGGTCTTGAACTCCTGACCTTGTGATCCACCCGCCTTAGCCTCCCAAAGTGCTGGGATTACAGGCATGGGCCACTGTGCCCAGCCTATCCAATTTTCATTCTCTGAGATTGCTAGTTTATCTTTCTGAAAGGGATTAAGATGTTCTCTTTCAACTTTTCAATTATAGAGCAAGTGTCCAGTCAATCTGTTTTCCTTTTTCTGTTGATAATCAGCTGCCTCTATCTATCTGAAGACTGGTATTTTCCTCAACAGAGGAAAATTTTCTTTTATTATGTCTGTGAATACATCTTCCCTCTATTTTTGTTTGCTTCTTTGTTTATTAAACAGAAGTTGGAACTTTTGCACTCTTCATGTCTCTTATCTTTTCTCTCATATTTGCCCCCTTTATTATTTTAAAAGGTATGTCTTTAGCTTTACTTTCCAAAATACTCATTAACTCTACCCTAATATTTTGCCTTTCTGTTTAACAAATGTCAACAATCATACTTTTAATTTTCACAAATTCTGTGGTCCTCTGTCTTAACTTTTATACCAAACTGATTTGGCTTCAAGAATGAAGTGCATCCTGAGCAATAACATTTTTACACATTCTACTTGCTTTATTTCTTGGGTTTTCACTGTTGCTCTTGGTGTTCTAGTCATATTTATAAATGAAAATTAGATTGATTTGGTATCTTACTCCTATACAGTTGCATAAGTTCAATAAACTTATCTTCCAAATGGCAAGTGGTTTGTTATGTTGACAAACTGTGATATTGTGGTTTACAATAATATATATTTTGGTCTTCAACTCCAGTTCCAGGTACAGAGGTCCTAAAACTCATGTAACTTCCTGAGTGATCAGGGTGCCAGGTGCATCTTTTGTTCTATTTGGCCTCTCACCTTGGTTCCTGATACAGAGCTCTGAATCCCTTGGAATTTCCTAGGTGACAGGAGCATCTTTTGTTTAATCAGGTGACTCTTGGTGGGTTCCTGAATGGAAGGTGGTCAAAAGAAAGACCAAGCCATGATTTGAAGCCTGTAACTTTCAGAGCCATCCACCAACCTCTGAGAAGGGAGGAGGTCCTGGAGATTGACCTAGTAAATATCACACCTATGTGACGAAGCTTCCATAAAAATAATTGAAATGCAAGGTTCCTGGAGCTTCCAGGGTGCTGAACATCTGGAGATAGTGAAGAGTAATGCTCCTAAAGAAAGCATAGAAGCTCTGCATCCCTTCCCACATACCTTTGCCTATGCATTTCTTCTACCTGGCTGTTTGTCACTGTAACATCTTTTACCTCTTACTGTAATATCCTTTATAGCAAACTAGTAAATAAATGTAAGTGTTTCTCTATGTTCTGTGAGCTATTTTAGCAAATGATCAAAGATTACAAGAAGATGTTGGAATCGTTTATCTATAGCCAGCTGGTCAGAAGTACAGGTCACAACCTGGAATTTGTGACTAGCATCTCAAGAGGGGGCAGTCTTGTGGGACTGAGCTCTCAACCTGTGGGGTCTATGCTATCCCTGGGTAGATAGTGTCAGAGCTGAGTTAAATTGAAGACAATTTAACAACAATTGTAGACAACTGGGTATGGAAACCCAGTTGTTACCTATAGAGAACTGGAGAGTGCTTGGTGGGAAAAAACACCCCCGCACATCTGGTCTCAAAAATGTGTTGTGTTGACAGTATAGTAGGAGAAAGCAGTTTGTCTTCCAAACAGATTACCGATGGGTACAGAGGTGAGAAAAAGTCTGGTATACTTTAGATGGAAACAGAGTATTCTCTTACTCCTGGGTAGATTAACCTTTACTTTTTACCCCACTGGATTTATCTGAGGTTCAGAGACATCTGATGTTCAGTTCCACCATTTAAACACACACAATAGTCACACAGAACTCTCCAGGCAGAAATTTTGTTTAGAAAACAATTTTTAGAGCTTTTTCATGGAATAAATGCTATAAATTATTTGTTCCATATATACAGACAATGAACTAACAGGATTCTCTTGTTGTACAACTCCAGAAGACAACATTCACATCTCTATGAACATGTGCAATGTAAGACTCTACTGGGGACTCAGGACTCAGCAGCCCATTATCTCAAAATATCTGGCCAGGACCTTTAAACAACTTTTTTTGAATTCAGAATTTCAATGTTTTTAGTTGAGTCTGGTTTGCTTTGGTTCTCCACAGGACTCACAACTAACACACACCTTTAAAATATTCAAATTTATATTACCTGCCTGATTTATGAAGACCTATGACTTTGTCTTCCTGCCAGCGCAAGACTTTTGACTAATTAGTCTGATGACTACCCAACAGGCAAATCCACTTATTTGTAACCTGCTGACTATGCTATCTGCTTCATCAGGATTTTGCTAAGAATGGCTCCCTTCATGTAAGAATCCAGCTCCTAGTATTTTGTTTGGTTTTCTATTTTGGCTTATTTGTGTATCCATTCATATATTTTCCATCTTCTAGGAATTCTTAAAAATTTCTAGTTCTCTGACAGAATCCTATCCTGTTTTATTATTCTTGTTACATATCTTTACTATCATGTCAATGAAATTTCTGGAGAGGAACAAAGATATAAAAGCAAGTGTGCTACCTAGGACTACAAATCTAAGTCCACCTTAAAAAAATACAATCTCATCCTTGTTACTGGACTTCGTTTACTCCTAGTAGGTTCTATTGCCCTTTGTTCCTGAGTGGTCAGGACAAACAGAAACATATGTATTTTTATGGAGGACCTGTCGTTCACTACCACAAGCAATTTTACTTAGAATGTGAATCATCCTGGCTGAGACTATATACGTAAAGTCGTTAGCACAGAACTTGGAACACAGCACGACAAATGCTCAAATAATAACTGTTAATGTTAATAAGAATTGAGGGAAGAAAAGGAGAGAAGAGGTAGTTAAGTAAAGGGTTAGCAGATTCAGATAAAAGAGAGAATGGCAAAATAATGTGCTTGACAGAGTTCAATATCACAAAACCATTTACTGATGAGTTTATGATACACAATTTTTCTGAGTACTAAATACAAATTGTTAAACTGGGAATATGATAAACAAGAACAAGTTACGTATTTAATTTAAGCCTAGCCAGAATAATTAGGGTAGGCCTAGTCAATTCCCTATTAGTTATTCATTTATGATCATTTTACATCATTAAGAGTCTCAGTTGTTTTTTACTATTTTAAAAGGGAAATTATAAGCTTCAGTGATACTTATAAATTACTCTTGGTCTCTATCCTAAATATGAGGAGGCTAGTTAACCTTAATCATTAGGCTGAGAAATTTGAAAGGCCCCAACAACTCAAGTTCCTATATACGTTTGTATATAGGAACTCTCATAATTACTAAGTTTAGTAGTACCTGGAAGGAACAAGAATATCCTGATGAAGAGAAGGGAAATGCCTAGGACTGAAGAACACATTTCCTCCTTTCTGCTCATGAATACAGACAATAAAGAATTAATTTAAGATCTACTGGGGATGGGATGTTTGTCATAGTTTTGTTAACACAGGCTGCTTCAAAGACAGAGTATCTATTCACAGATAATTCATATATAATTTTACCTGATATTCCCCTTTTAAGTGGGGCATCCCTGGAAAGATATTGTTTAGTAATTCCCCATCTTAATGTGGAAAAATATCATTTTAATTTCATTCTGCCCAATAGAAGAAAGAGAAAGGGTAGGAGAACTCAATTTGTAATTCTGCACAATGAATAATTAGAGTCCATTTTTTACAACCAACTCCGTCTGTTCACGGAAAAAGGGCAGGAAAAGTATGACTGAAGGTCATACTTTTTATTCCCTGACAATACATGATGCTTTTAGAAAGCCATATTTCCTAGGATAAAAACTTACTGGCTGAAAACTCCTAACTCCATTAGTTTTTTAAAAAAATTTTTTGAGACTGAGTCTTGCTCAGCCACCCAGGCTGGAGTGCAGTGGCGCATTCTTGGCTCACTACAATCTCCACCTCTCAGGTTGAAGAGATTCTTCAGCCTCAGCCTCCCGAGTAACAGGAGTTACAGGCGTGTGCCACCACGTCTGGCTAACATTTCTGTATTTTTAGTAGAGATGGGGTTTCACCATGTTGGCCAGGCGAGTCTCAACCTCTTGACCTCAGGTGACCCATCGCCTCAGCCTCCCAAAGTGCTGGGATTACAGGCGTGAGCCACCATGCCCAGCCAACTCCATTCATTTTCTAAACTCATATGCAGGAATTCTTAACTTCTGAGAGTAAAATGCTTTTATAATAACATTTTTTCTTAAGTCAGAAAGGAATTTTTGGAACATTAAACAATGAGCAGTTGCACTTTTAATTTCTGTTGTCAGAGAGAAAAATGAAAAACTTTGACTTCAGCTGTATTTAGAAATGTAATTTTTTTTATTGTCAAAAGTAACCATAGACATTAAAAAAGTAGTGATGTATATAAATGCATTGCTTAAGTCTACTGACAATATTTGTTGCACTTAAGAATTATAGATCACCCACAATAATTCCACAGATTTCTCTGCTTTAAATGTTACTTACAGGGTTCATTGTTCCAATGGTGTAGACGAGGGGAAACACATCAATCACACTGAAAGTTCAACATCTGATAATATAACTCAGAAAGGAGATTTCTCAAGGGTGAAGAAAGAATCTTACCTGACACACATTAGACAACGAACGAGTTCAAGCCTTAAAATCCTGATTTATTTTAAATTAGTGTTTACATATGACTGTGGTTCAAGTTTGGCAGACAGGTTTAAATGTCAAATCCAACACTAGTGACAATACAATTTATTTCAGTTAGGGACCTGGACTTTGGCACCAAATAAATTATGTCTTTTTCATTCCTGCATGGCATGGATGCCTCTATTTGCATGACTTCTGAGTATGAAGTAATAATGTTGATTTTCAACAACTGATCTTTCTGAAAAATACAAAGAAACAGCAAAATGGTGATATTAAAATTGACTCACCACTGTCCTCTGTTTGTTGGGCAGGAATACTCTAACGATAGGTTTTTGTGGTGACTTGGGGTTGCTCCGTGCCACATCTGTGGGATTTTGAAAAACTGAAAGAGATGAAGGTAGCACTGAAAGGCTAGAAGAGGAAGAAGATGTAACGGTGTCCATTGATGCAGAGCTAGAAACAGAAAAATCAGTTCCGTTCCCCAGAGATTCCAATAACTGTTGTTCTCTTTGTTGGAGTGCATCTAGCTTGCTGGTGTATTCTTCATATGCCTATAAAATAAAGTAGACTTATATTCAATCTGTGTCCTGACATTAACAAAAGAGAATATAAAATTTTAGCCCTTGATTATAATCTTTTAACCAGCTGATAAGAGTTTTAAGTTTCAAATTACAAAATAAGTGCTAGAAATACTATAAATACTTTCACCCTTAAATTGACAAATTCTTTGTTATTAGATACCACACTATATTACACTTGAGAAATTTGACTTATACATATGTGATATCTAGATGGTCCATGAATAATAAAAAAGTACAGTATTTCAAATTTTCTCGTCCAATTATATTTACCTTCCAAACCATGTCTAACACGACACATTGTATAAAGAATAAGTTTTCCTCCCATTAAAAGAATTATTTTGTTCCAGAAAAGCTGTAGGCATATAAATTCCATTTTCTCTCACAACAGAAAAAGAAGTTGAAAAGGACATGAGGTATTAAAGAAGATTTGTTCAAAAAAACCCCACAAAATTTAGCACACGGTACCAGATCTCACCGTTGGCACTAAAACCTCCTCAGTGGGGTTTAGAAGATGTGTAACTGTCACATTCTTTCTGAAATAGCTATCAGTTAAAATACTTTATTCTTCTCACTACAGCTTTTTGATGACTTCTTTCTGCACCAAATGCTGCTTAGAGATTAGGACCTGTATACAAAGTCATAGGCCGTGTGAAAAAAGAAAAACAAAACAGAACTGTATTTGAAAATGTGGCTTATACCCTATAATCAAGAAATTCTGGGGCTATACTCAGGGTATCTTCCTAGAAGTTTCATTTGATGAAGGCTATAAAGTCAAGCAACCGTTATATAAGATATCAAATTTTGAAAGAACTGAATGACATTGAATGAATTGGAATATACAAGTCCACAGTTCTTTTAGGCATTAGTAACTCCCTCACTCATACCACGGTCTACTATTTCTACCTACCATCTCAAATAGATACAATACTACAAACATTTATGAAAGGGAGAAGCAAAGATTTTAAAATGCTCTGTCCCATCTTTCAAGGAGTTTATTATTGGGCAGTGGAGTAGGAGATGGATGTATTTTTATTTGTGCAACTGTGTACATGAGAAATAAACAGTATTCTTGATATAAGGTAAGAATGAGGAAGGAAGATGACCTTGAAAAGTTGGCAATTTAGATGGACAGAGGAAGTGGGGAGGAGGGAGTCCTGTATACAGGAAAAATTCTGTAACAAAGAGTTTGTTTTTTCTGTAACAAAGAAGGTGAGAAAGTTTAAGACACAGAGGAAAAACTACAGATTGGTATAGTTCAATGTCATACAATATCTGGGACACAGCAAAGGATCAATATATGTTTGTGAAATTTAAATGAAACTTCAGCAGCATACCTGTTCTCTTAAAAAAGAAAGAAATTTAAATGAAAAATAGGTAGAAGAATAATAAGGCTGAAAAGGTGGAAGGGAGTAGACTATAGAGTGTATATGCCATGCTATAAAGTCTGAACATAAGGGAGTAAGGGAGAATTATAAGATGTAGCAGAGAATGAAAGAGAAATTTCATTTCAATAAAGGCCACAGGACCCTGCTATGCTACATCTTACCACATAACTTGGAAGAAAACAAGGGGGGCGGGGAATAGTAACAAGAGCTACTGAGGTAAGAGATTTAAACTGCATCAAAATGTCCTCTTTGTTTACAGCCTGCTAGTTGCCCTACCAAGACCTTGTTTCACTGCAGATCAGGGCACTAAAAACAAATAGATGCCAAATTTTCTGAGCTGCAATTTAGCTTTCAGTACCAAGGCCTAATTATTTAAGTGTACTTCTCTCAACACAATCCACTTACTGAACCTTCAATCATTCAGTAAATACATACTGATATACATGTTTGGCTCTGTTAGGGTTCAGACTACAAACACAAATAAGACCAACACAATTCTTACTCTTTGAAGATCACATAAATGCAGTCTGGAACACAAAGGTTCCTCCTGCATAGATAAGATATTCTTTCTTACTGTCATCTGAGCAAGTATAGTTACTATACAAAATAAACCTTAGGAAAAGAAATGAACAGAAACAATTTTCCAAACATTATTTCCTTTTCAAAATGATAGACTTTATTTTAAAAATTATACTGATCCCTCTATGACAGATTACAAACTATCACTTCACCCCATTTATCAACAGCTTTTCCTTGTTAAGTACAAAACATCTACTTATTCCATCTCTCTCCATTTTCAAAGCTGCAATCTACCAAGACCTCTGGTTCATTTCACCTACTACCCTTGCTGTATCCAGTATGAACTTCAATCAGTCTTTTAATACTCCTGCCACAGATTTCTCTAAACCTCTCATTTCTAAAGGCATTTATTTCCATTCTATCTTCAAGGCTCAGAGAAGCATCACAGTCTTTACAAAAGAAACACAAATGATGAAAAGATCTCAATTTAGAACCTCACACAGCCCTAGGCACACATATTTATCCCACCTTCTTAAATTTCTATCTCACAACATTAATCTGTTCAAGGTCAACATTAATCTCTCAAACAGTTACTAAGCTTTGGCTACTGTCGTCCTTCATGTACTTTGTGGTTCACCACTGCAACAATGCCATTGGTGGTATCTTAGATTTTCTGGCTAATTCTTGTTATTTTATCAATTAGCTTGCCAGATACAAATTTTGGGTAAATCTTACCATTCAATTATTCTATTTTTTTCCTATCAGGTTACCACACACTGCTGGAGAAAATAACAAAACTAGTCTAATTAGTTCCATGATCTATTCATGAAACTTAGATTTGCCTGGTTCTTCACACGACTGCCTGAAAATCCTGCTTGTTTTTAACATCATTATCATAGTCACAAGAGTTATTCCAACCTTCCTAATTCTTCTCTGGATCTTAACTTCATCCCTCAATTTTTAATTCACTCTGAAAATAATATTATTTTCAAATCCACTCTGAAAATCAAAGTGATCAAATTAAAGTTTACTTCTTTATCTGCATAATTCTTCACATCTTTCCCCATTCTTCTTTAACTCTCACTTTAGTGCTAACATCGCGTGTTTAGGGCCTTAGTCTACCATTCCCTCTATTTTCTCTCATATTATCTACCTTTCCCTTTTCCTGTTTTCTCACTCTAGTAATATGAGCAAGCCACTCCAAAATATGTGCAAACTTCAACCACAATTATCATCACCAAAGTTCTTTTGGTTATTCAAAATGCTGCAGATACCAGATACCACTTCTTCAGGAGACAATTTTTCAAAACCCTATTCCTTCTAATCAAAACTCTACTGATTTTTCAAGCAATCTAATTCTAAGCTCTCCTTGCTAAAATCCAGAAGAGGTATCCTTTCTCTTTATCTCCTTTAGAATATTTATCATACTCTTCTTTATATGGCTAATTTTTCTCAACTTCAAAATGATTTTGTGAGGATTAAATGAGATAATACAAGTAAAATAAATTATTGTAGAGACTACCACCAGTATTAGTAATAACGGGTAGTAAAAAAAAAAGCAGTATTCATAATTCTTGTTGTGTTTTTCATTGTTATTACTATATTACTTTGTTGATTCTCGTCATGACTAAACTGCAAGCTAGTTAAGGGCACAAACCATGTCTTATTTTTTAATTCAAAAAAAGAGGCTAGGCGCAGTGGCTCACGCCTGTAAACCCAGCACTTTGGGAGGCCAAGGTGGGTGGATCACTGAGGTCAGGAGTTTGAGACCAGCCTGGCCAGTATGGTAAAACATCATCTCCATTAAAAATATAAAACTTAGCTGGGTGTGATGGCAGGTGCTTGTAATCCCAGCTATTTCAGAGGCTGAGGCAGGAGAATCATTTGAACTCGGGAGGAGGAGGTTGCAGCGAGCAGAGATTGAGCCACTGAACTCCAGCCTGGGTAACAAGAGTAAGACTCCATCTCAAAAAAAAAAAAAAAAAAAAAAATCTAAGAAGACTTAATATCATTAAAATGACAACACTTCCCAAGTTGATCTACAAATTCAATGCAATCCTTATCAAAATCTCAATTTTTTTTTTTTTTGTAGAAACTGACAAGCTCATCTTAAAATTCACAGGACAATACAAAGGACTTTGAATTACTAAAATAATCTTAAAAAAGAAGAAGTTGGAAGACTTATACTTCCTGATTCCAAAACTTACTATACAACTATAATAATCAAGACAGTGTAACAATACTGGAAGAAGGACACACATGTAGAACAGAATAGAACAAGTTGCAACCAGTAAATCCATAAAGGCAAGAAGTAGATCAGTGGTTGCCAGGGGCTGGAGGGAATGACTTTTAATGCATAGAGAGTTTCTTTTTGGGAGTGATAAAAATATTTTAGAATCAGATAGTGGTGCCAATTGTCCATTTTGTAAATACACTAAAAACCACTGAATTACACACTTTTAAAAAGTGAATCATATAGTATTATATGAATAGTAATGTGAATTATTTCTCAATAGAACAAGAACAGAAAAAGAAATAAAATCTTACATTTACCGTCAACTGATTTTTTTACAATGCTGGCAAGACAATTCAATGAAGCAAGAATGGTCTTTTCAACAACTGGTGCTGGTACAACTCAATATCCACATGTAGAAAAATAAAGTTGGGCTAATACCTAACAACATATTAAAAAACCTAACTCAAAATAAGCCAGGAACGTTGGTTCATGCCTGTAATCTCAGCACTTTGGGAGGCCAAGGCAGGAGGATCACTTGAGACCAGGAGTTCAAGACCAGCCTGGGTAACACAGACTCCATCTTTACAAAAATTAAAAATAAAACAAAATGGGTAATATGCCTATCATATAATTGAGCACCCCCATTTTTCTCCTCCCCACTTCCTACTTAGCTCTTTAGAAATGCAATTATAGGCCAGGGGTGGTGGTTCATGCCAGTAATCCAGCACTTTTGGAGGCCAAGACAGACAGATCACTTGAGCCCAGGAGTTTGAGGAAAGCCTGGGCAATCTGGTGAAACTCCATCTCTACAGAAAACACAAAAACTGGCA